AACTTGACACGTTTAAACACTCCTGCCAATAAACTCCGAGTCGACTTTCAACGAAACCTTCAATATATTCCTATTGACGCGAGGCGCAAATTGTTGCTGAACATCATGGCAATTGCCCTTCGAGCTCTGCAATGCACGGACGATTTAACGGAGCTTGTTGCATAGTTATAGTGCTTTTAAAAATGGGTTAGCTTTTATTCATTATTCTTCAAACAGCTTTCACAGACATGGAACGTCTGCAATGGCAAGTTGTAAACAATACGTTTCACATCCTTTGATGAAAGTTAAATGTTTATAAAGCCTCCCACGTTCTCCACTGCTCAAAGTGCTCCGGTGTCGACTTGTTGAATACCACGGCTATTTTCAGCTTAACAATGCAGATAATAACGCTTCACCAATGGTTTGCTAAGAGCGAGAGAGAAAAAAACGCCAACCGAAAAACTATATTGAACGGATAGCATTATAAATGCAATTGCAAATGTTACATTTTCAGTTTAAATTTGCTCGCATTTTTCGAACGTTCCAAAAAAGTGCCAGTCACGATGTGAAAAGTAATCCACACTTTCATCCGAAGTGAAAGTTTCACTTTCAATACTTGCTATTGCCGAGATCGAGACAGTAGTTTGCGCATTGGTCTCGTGACCTTTCTCTCGACAGTCGTTGTGTGTTCTGTTTTTAGTGATGTTCGTTTCCCTGCATGCATATCATCCCAATGGGATCACTTCATAAGCAATACTCCCGTGTCACAAGGTAATATCGCGTACACGCTGTAATGCAGTTTTCTGATTGAACAAAAATGTTTTTGCTTCCACTTGCATGGCCTGCCTACCAGCAAAGCTGCCGGTGCTGCTTTTATGTATTGTTCAACAGCTGCGACAGAATACAGAGCAATGGGCAAAGCTCGGGACAGACAATTGCCCCAGCTTCAAGCCTCAACGAGGAATGTTTCTTTCCTTTTATATTGGGGCTCCCGTGATTTCGGCCGTACTTGAGAATGCGTGAGGATGAAAGAGCAAGAGGCAAAATATGATGGTGGAAATGTATATTAGATAACGATAGCTATTTAAACACGACAAAAGGTAAACTACAGTCTAAAATAAGTGGAAAAGTGTTGCCACCATCTCAGATACAACTGTCGATAACGATATTTAAAGAAGAAAAGGTTGGGATTTTTTGTTAAATAGAAATAAAGTTGATTTGAAGCTTTCGTGACTGCAGGAATCCATACTCTTTGGTTGCAATCGAAACGTCGTGATTTGTTTTATTTTATTTCTAACTACGTGACTTTACCGAAAGAACCAAAGAGTATAGAAACAAATTTGGCTATTGAAAAAAAACTGCATAAGTCAATAAAAGTGCCGTTGTACTCAAAGAGAGGTCAGAGTTATGATGAGTGTGCCACTGAGTGCCGACTGCTGTGCCATGCTCTCGCCGATCCCACAGCGAGAGATAGCCTTACCGGCTCCAAAGATGACACTGTCTGACGTACATAGTGAATATGGCGAATGCGTCATGAGATATTTCTAATTATGTCCCAATGTCAATGTTTGAAACCCAGCACCCAAGTATCGGCGGGTACTGTATTGCATTCTTTCTAGATGTTAAGCTTTCGTGACTGCAAGGATTCATACTCTTTTTTTTCGGCAAAGTCACGTATGTAAAAAATCTAATAAAATAAATGAAAATAACTAAATTAAATCACGACGTTTCGGGCGCAACACAAGCGTCCTTCTCTTGACATACTCTATTTAGAATAGAAACAGAATGTATATCCATGCAATCGAGCTTCATTTAAAGCAAGGCACATAATAAACAAAATATTGTAAACACATTCTATTGTTGACACTTTATTTTGGTATTAATGGGGGACGAAAGAAAGCCATCCGCGCACGTGTGTGTGAGTGCGTGAGCTAATAAACATTTTCCACGTTTTAAAGTTACCCGCCATTGCTTATTTGCGAGTAACTTCCACCTCTTGTGTAGTTTGGTATCTTTGTAAAGTTTTCTGGAGATCTGTATTAATAAAAGTGATGTTTAAAATAAGTATATTACATGAAGAGCAACAACTATGAGCAATGAAATACAACTTCTACAGAGAATAAGTGAACAGATGCTCGGCTTTGCTCCGTCGGTGCCGGTCCATGGAAATGTTGTTCGAGAGGAAATCTGTTTCTTGTTGAGGGTGACACAACACAGAGTACTCACTCGGGTCATCCTCGCAGCGGCTTTTGGCTAACCATCGAACAATGACGGTGACCACATCGCGCGCCTTCAGATGCGCTTCTGCGGCCGTCTGGAATGCTCTTCCTTCCCCCCCCCGCACCTCCGATTAGCAAGGTTGGCTACGTACGGCGCGAAAGAAGTTCTACACACAGCACAGCGCCGTAATGTGTTTCCATTGTGCGATGATGAATTAATTGCCACACCTGCTGTTTTCTAAAAGTGTATGTTTTACTCTGTGAATTATTTATTTGTAAACTGTACAATAAACCTTGATTATTTTCAAACGATACAGAACATGATATTGGTATATTCTACCCAGCAAGTTTATTTTTTGTATATGTTCAACAATTAAAACATAGGGAAATAAAACACAACTCTACAGGCGGCAAAGCACTAAAACACGCAGCGTACATAAATATCCGATGTAATCAGGTCACAGCCTCTTAAACCTAATTCTAGACAGCAGTTAGTAAATCTGATCTGTCCCGCGCACACTCTGCGTTTATTGACATCGAGAGCGGTGAAGGCAACACGTTTATTGCTGAGCGCACGCGTCCTTTCGTCGCACAGGGAAACACAGCATTAACCCCGGGCTCGTTGCTTGTCAAGTGTTGGACGGTCTCTTTTTCGTGTTAAAGCAGCAACAGCAGCAGCAGCAGCCCACATTTTATATAAACAAAAAAAGAGAACTTGCCAAAGGCAGCCCCGCTTACTCAGAGCAAAGTCTCCCACATATGCACACACGGGGCCAACGCTACGTAGCCGCACGTCGGGCCAAGTCGCTTCGTTTGCGCATCGCGGTGATCACAACCTCGCTGCGGGCAAAGAGGGAAAGGAAAAACACTCGGACGCCTCTCGATCTTGACGTCGCCAGCAGATGTTGGAGAGCGAGATGATGTTGCAGGTTTGTGTGCGACTGATGTCGTTGCGATGGCCCCGTGCGTTGCGTACGTCGCACCGCTCAGACGGCAAAGACGAAATAATCGGTCGCTGATTCGTGACATAACGTAATATCAGTGTACTCTATTTGGGGTCAATTTGCTGATTCGTGACATAACGTAATATCAGTGTACTCTACTTGGGGTCAATTTGCAATGGGCACTTTCAACTTTCTTAGTCGAGAAATAAAACGCGTGCGGTGCAATGAACTTGACACGTGTAGATTACACACCCAGTGTCAACAGAGAATGTATTTAATTTACTCCCAGCTGTACAATCAGGGTATGGAGTACAAGGTGATCCATTTACGGATACCCCACCGTTTTCCAGTGACCCTCTCATTTCCTTCTCAACAGGTGATTGAATATTGTTAAAGCGATGTTGGGCAAAGTGTATCACGGGAAATTGAGAAATATTTCATAAGCGTCCAGCGTTGAGATTGGAGGTAGAGAAGTAGAGGATTTCGATGTGAATGTTGTTCTCTCTCTTAATTTATTTAAGTGGGGTGTCTATATATTGATCGCCCTCTGTACACTCTTTAATTGTTGTTGTGTTTGCAATCATGCGTAGCTTATATGAAAGAAAAAAACATATACGTAGACGGAAAGAAAATGCGTGGCATTCTGGCGAACTGACCTTCCAGAAGGGAGGGGAGGGGACAGGGGGGGGGGTTGTGTGTAAATTAATCATATTCATACCCATAGTGTTCCCTTTTAATTATCATTAATTGGTACCCATGAGAATTATCAGGGTCTGCTAATTATCAGTTTGAAGCAAGTTACACAAACCTAACAGAATGCTGACATTTCCTATGATACCATTTGACTTGCTGTTAGGTCAGATGGTCAATGTGTTTAGTGTGCGGAGTTAGAGATATATTTTCTTTATCCTCACTGGGCTCTGTTCCAAAAAAGTTAGAGGCATATTTCAATGTCACAATCATGAGAACTGCGAATCTCCATAAATAATGCTTTGCCCGATGCTGACCGCACAAAGTTTGAGAGGTGCACAGAATAAGCATCGCAAACCTTCCCGCAAAACCTGGCACGGTTTGCAGAAATTCGAACGGCATTCAGGCTTTGTGATCGATAAAAGTAATACACATGTAAAGATCACAATAAAGCAATATCTATTGTTTGAAATGTTGAATACGCGATGTCTTCATATGCAGTGCAACATTTACACGTGGGCAAACACTGAGAGCATTTTCAATTTGTATTATGACATTTTTACTTCTTTAAAATCACCGTTTCTGAAAAACATAGGCCACGCATGATAGCATTGCACGTACGACATTGCCGCACGAATTGCGTGTGCAAATCGAGAGTAGATCACACTGCACGGACACAATTCTAGATTTGAAGCTTTCGTGACTGCAAGGAATCATATTCTTAGGTTTTTTCGGTAAAGTCACGTAGGTAAAACATCAAAATTAATGAAAATAAAATAAAACAAAAAATCACGACGTTGCCTCCGAAACGTCGTGATTTTTTGTTTTATTTTATTTTATTTTCATTAATTTTGATGTTTTACCTACGTGACTTTACCGAAAAAACCTAAGAATATGCACGGACACAATTGACGTGTTGAACTACTTTGGGAATGCGCACACAGGCTGATCAATGTTGCTGCACACACCCCTTCCAAGTAGGCTACAGAGAGCCAGAAAACTTTCAATGGGGGGGGGGGGGGGGGGGGGGGGAGATGGGCAGGGGGGGGGGAGATGGGCAGGGGGGGGGGGCAGGGGGGGGGGCAAGGCCCCAGCTCTTTCTCACGGGATGGCAGTGGGGTGTGTGGAAAAGCATCGGAATCAGAGGCTCCAAGAAATCACCCCTCACTCGTGCTTCTACTGAGGAAGTCGAAGTGTTCTTCTTGTTGTTGTTGTTGTTCTCCCCTTCTCCAGGTTTATTCGGCGCTGTCACATGGCGGCCAGAGAGACAGTAAATGAGATGAGGAAGCGTGGACTTGGCAGGGACAGCCCCGGCGAAGGTCGCTATTCATTTCCTGCTCTGCGTTCTCTCAGCTCTCCCCGGCCGCTCGTTGCGGGCTGCCGGATAAACAGGGAAAGGGCCAGGAATCGCGCCGCCCCCAAATCTAGAGGAGAGAACAAGGGGGCATACGCACGCGCACACACACGCACGCGCACACACACGCACGCACACACGCGCACACACACACACGCGCACACACACATACACGCACACACACACACACAGACGCACGCACACAAAAACTACTCCGCTTCATTTATTGTGAACGCGGACGGCGCAATTAATAAAGCAGAACCGAAGCTGACAAAAAGTCTGATTGGGACATTGACATGTAATTTGCGATGTTCATGGTAATCCATTGCAGCTATTATTAAACAAAATTAATTCCCATTTATTTATGGTATATTGCTTGCACATTTTTCTTTGTATTGATTTTATGTACAAAAGGTAATTCTGGCACACCGAATTGTGTGCTTGTGTTCCTAACATTTTTCTATTACTTAAGCATTCAATATTGATCTCGAACACTGTGTTGTACTAATGTATGTCTGTTTAATGCATACTGTCAGTATTTAATGAATATTGATGTGCATTCGATTAAATTAAATTATTTTCTCTCAAAGAACCATTATAAAGTGCTCACCTTATTTCAACTTTATTTATTAACCTTGCATTTTCAAAGTTGACACCCTTTTCCTGATGCCCATTTAAAAACACATCAGGATTGTGCTTAAATTTAGGCATATTGTGAGCCTGTTCAGTTTTAGAGCCACCGACATAATTTATTAATGGAAGTTTATTCCAAGTACAAAGTAGAAATGCTTAATGCGGTATGTTTTTTTCTCCAAAACGTGCACAGAAAAAACACAAATGACTGTAATTAAAACTAAAAGGGCATTGGGATCAAAAATACTTGGAGAGAAAAATTATCAAACAGCCTTGAGATAAAGCAAAGGTTACAAAGGCTAACAAAGCACAAATTATAAACCATAATAAAGGCGCCGTGCATTGGTAATAAGCGCATTAAGTGGCACCAAAGCCAGCTTTGTCATGAGTTGGTCTGGCATTTTTCATTGCCGGCTGCCCCTCGCTGGCCCGCCCGCTTGCACACACACACACACAGGACCCTGCCAAACTTGAGCTCTGGAATTCACTCTGAAAATCTCAATTAAATCTGCAGGCTTAGCCAGCGTGTAGCAGCCTCTTTCGACAGCGCCTGCCCAGGCCCGGGTACCCGATAGCCCGCGTCTCAAGTTTTGGTACCGTCAGTGGAAAACAGCCGTTCCAATAATCCCCACCGTCAATGCCAAATAAAATGCGGCTTCTCTTTTTATAGCAGCCCCTTGCAGCTGTCAGGCCACAAGCATTCACCTTCCCTGTAACAACAATAATAATAATATAAATCTACTAAATAACAATGTAGTAAACTTCAAAATGTAATGACATGGGTGTAGGTGTACCTGTTGAGCGTACTGTTAACGTGGCAAGACAAAAAAAAAAGCTATGCAAATTTAAAGTGTTAATTCATACGTGCTAGATCAATGCGAAGTGAGAAACAAACCATTTTGTTCTGTCCGCAGCAGCAAAAACGCCGTCATTTGAATTGATCCGTCTCTGTGTACTTGAACCACACAAGTGCTTTTAGTTGCGATCTGTGAAACCCCCCACAATGGCTCTGTGTGAGCCACAGCTCACGAAGAGGAAGAGCGCCCCCTGCTGACAACACAACGAGCATTGAAAAAAATATACATTTCATGCAGGCCACATTGAAGAAAGAAACAAGAAACACACCCCCCCCCCACCCCCCCGAACAAAACTCTGCACTGTTCAAGCAAAGAGTTAGGAGGACCACCGTGCTTTTATGGTTTGAACGTGATGAAAAGTAAAGAGAATGTATGAACGTTAACACGTAAAGTGTTTTCAGAATGTCACAATTGTGTGGGAATTGTTCAATTTCAGACTAAACTCATACAGGTGTTTTCGTCTCACATTTTTTTGAAAATAAGTACCACACCAGCGTGAAATGCTATAACTATAAAATGCGAATCACTTTGTTAAAGAAAACATTTACGCAAAGCTTTCCATCTTGAAAGTGAGCAGTACATGCTAAATAATATTACGTGTGTAAAAAAAAAAATCAAATGCCCAGCCTTCTTCTTAGTCTAGCAGTCGTCCTACGCAATACAATTTCACACAGTCGGTGTAATTTTAAATAATTACAAGAAACATCTCACGCACTGCACTTAATATAAGGTACATCCCCCCCCCCTGCCACGTGAAATCAAACTGCAATTCGCCCCCCCCCCCCCCACGCATGCTCCCCCCCCTCCCCCCCTTCTACACAAATCCTGATGCAGGACAAAATGTCGTGTGGCTGTGTTGCTACACGAGATTCTGCCCATTTCACCACGGCCAGGCTGACGAGATTCACACCATTGCACCCCCTTGATAACTGCTTCAAGAAAACAATGGTATAGCCTTAACAGACCGTTAGGGCAAGTGATGTTAGCGAGCACCTATTAAGGCCGGCACGACACAATGGGTGACCAGCACGACGCCCGGTCGCCTTTGTCTATCTCGTGGCGATATTTGCACGCCGCACTAGGTACTAATTTGAGGCTGAGTCGACCTAGGGGAGGCTGGGCACCGTCACTGGTGTTCGTCTTGAGCGGGAATCGAACTCGGGTCGCTGGGTTCGTAGTGCGCTAACCGCTGCATTACCGCTAACCCGAGCTCACACCGACACATACACACACGTAGCACTGAAAATACGGCTCTGGATCTATGACTAAGAAATATATCGTCATAACATGATGTGTGAAGATGGCAGCCACACACAATGCTTCTTCCTTCTTTCGTTTAGCATGCTGTAGGGATAAGCAACTGATTTTTGGAACAGCAACAACAAGTCCAAAATAAATTGATGTCTATTTCTTTAACCGTTCTACAGTGTCGGTTGTAAGCTGGAGAATTGCTTTGGTGTTGCTATTCAATGGTTTTGATGCGCAGCAGTTGACTGTGTGCCCCATTGTTTGTTTCCGCTCCACAGTCACAGCTGGAACTATCTTTCATCTACACAAGCCAACATTACATAGGACTGAACTACCATTTTTCCTTGCAGATATGCCGATAGTTCATCCAGAGAAGCGTTGAGACTGACTATTGTCTGTCTGTCCTTGTAGGTGGATGTGCTGTGTCTGACGTTTGCCTGCAAATGTTATAATCTGTACCCTACCAGACACACAGTATGTATGTATGTTGAACGTCTTTCGCACCGTACGAAGCTCACCGCGATAATCGGAGGTTCAGGGGAAGAACAACAAACTGAACACAAAAAGCAGTTCTAAAGAAAAAAAATCAATCTCGATTATTTAAAAGTGCATAGCTCCAGTGGCTTCCTAATGTCGGAAGGAAGAGCATTCCAGACGGCCGCAGAAGCGCATCTGAAAGCACACGATGCAGTGACCGTGTTTGTTCGATGTCCAGCCAATAGCCGCTGCAAGGAAGACCGGAGTTTGCATGATGGTTTATGCTCAGTATGCATGTCCATTTGTATTACATTTAGGAATACATGTTTAGCAAGTGCTCGGAATTCATGGCAACACTATTGGTGACATCAAGTTATTTACAACGTCAAATGAGAGAAACTGCCAAGTATGTAATCGCTTTGGTTTTGTTTTTCTTTACTGGTAGTTATATAGCTCATAAACAATAAATAACATTCAATGGAAATGACTAGAGCTCTGACAGCCCCGCGAAGACATTGCAAAGAAACAGCCAGATACATATATGAATGTTGCAAGGCACAAAGCAGGACACTAGTTTAAAATGATAATAATATACTATTGCTGCCACTACTTGTGATAATGGTTTCCATAATCAGATAAAACATTCCGTGAGTGGCAGGTCAGTATGAGTGAGGAGCGGCAAGCACAGTGGTTCGTGCCCTGCATGATGAACCCCGTGACCCGAGTATGAATTTTTGGTCAAATCTAACGTTAGTGGAGATACCTGAATTGGTCCTAAGCACCCCTTTTCCCCTTTCACCAACCCACACTGACCAATGTGGTGAAGTATGGCCAAGCGACCCCCATGATTGAAACAGTGTCGATTATCAATTGCTGTTTATAATAACGATATAAATCAATGAGCAGTGTATGCAGTGTGTGTTACAATGTGATGAACGTAGGCTATAAATAATGCGTGATTAATTGTTGCAAACAAATTTAGTCACGTTGTTATCCGATAGTTATATTCAGCTGTGTGAACATTTGTTCTCTAGATAAAGATGGCTTGATCTGATATCCAAGTACTATGACATATGGTTGGACACCGGCTACCACTTAATACAGTTTACAATAATCTAGTTGTGTACTTTTAAATATATATGATGTGTGCATCCACAGCAGAATGTAATTCACTGCTTATTGTTTATATCACATTTACAGAGTGGATGAGGCGAAAAAATATACACGCAATAAAGCATTCCAACTACAGCTTGTTTTGTAATGCCTGTCTCATGCTATAATTACGTGCTGCAATTACTGCCAGAACTCATGAATTATAAATGAGCCAGTACAAGAAAGTGAACAAAGGCTCATCATTTTGCCAATTTATAAAAGAAATGAGATGCACACCAATCTGACCACATTCGTGATCAGGTGACCTCACCCGAGCCAATGGAGTGAATCCACCTTGCAAAAAAAATGGCCGCTGAGATTGCATTCAGTGGGAAAGGAGTGTTGACAGGTTGGTCTCAGGTGTGCGCTTTGACGCAATGAGCCACTTTACCGAATGTCGCTTTTCTTCACTGGCCACAGTTGCGGAAGGCAGAACAGCCCTTTGCCGTTAGTGGAAAATGAATTAGCTATAAATACCCCTCAGGGCAGCTGTTTGCAAATATAGAGCAGGGTTGACAGACAAGGGGAGGGCATTGGCAAGCCATTTAAACCCCTTTACAGTGTGCACCATCACAGGAATTCCATTAATAAAAAAGTAATCCCCAATTTTTGCTAGGTGATTATGAAATATTTTCACGGTGGGATAATAATTTAATTTAGTTGGAGTTGTGCGTATGCCATGTAAATGTATATTCCTGATATACGGTATCAAAAAATATGGCCATTTTAATTTACGGTTGGAACAGATCAGTAGACAGTTGTAATGAGATATTTATTTGGGCACGTTTCTAGGAAAAACGAAAACACATCAACTTTCCGTCACATCAGATTGATATGTGACCTGATGCCAAACAGAACCATAATTATGTCGCTTCCCCAATTATTTTGTAATTTCCACCGACAAAGAGGGTGTGCGCACGCTTTATCACGGTGCACATGTTAGCGAGGATAATCGTTTTTTTTTGCAATGTTCACGTGATTCGAGGCAAACGCTCAAACTTGCAGTTGTTCTCTTGCAGCGTCCTCCTTTAATTGCACACGGGGCTTGGCAAAAAAAAAAAAGTTTGAATGCATAAGCATAACTGTACGACTAAAACACACTGTTTCACCTTCATCATGCTTAATTAGGGTGTATCAGAGCACCCAGCGTGTGGGGCGAATGCACACATACATTTGATTCCCCGCTTTCAGACTCCACACACACCCCCAACCTTCACCTCTGACCTGCGCGATCATGTCATTGCCCAATTAGGCCAAATGATATGTGCAGAGTGTAAACATTCACAATAATATATATAACACGGAAATATACTTTTTTTATTTGGATTCCAAGAATTCCCTTTGTCGTCAACAAGCACACTCATTCACGCTTCGTTTATCTTTTCCGAGCAAGATGGAAGAGACCAGTCCATTGTGATGCTTTGTATGCAGTTTGAGTATAAATTTAAAGCACAATGCCCGTTCAATCGTACGTCCGGGGCTGATTTTTGGTAATATCACCTAAACAGACAAGACAATACGTCCGTGTATATCCTGTTATTTGTTATGTAATCTACAGCTCTTAGTCAATCCATTGCTGGATGAGGACCTCGTCACACTGGGTTTTGGGGGGAGGGGTTGAGGTGGGGGGCTTTTAGGCCTGTGCAGATATCTCTCACCACTTATACCCATGGCCAGAAATCGAACTCATATGGCCACGTTCATCGGCCAGTGTGCTCAACACTGTGCCACCACTTCATCGCAACAGTCTACTATGGAGTCGCAATGTCAAATAGCAACATAAAATTACCATAAATAATGCAAACATAACACAAATAGTGTCTGAGAATAATGAAGTATATGAAATGTATTGAGATGGGTGCGTAATGACACACTTATTTCTTGGGACTTTCCAGATTACATATATTAGATGCAAGCCCTCAAAGTGGTATGCAGGTGCTGCGTTCGGGATTTGTCTAAATAGGAGCTGTGGTGCAATAGGTTAGCATACTGCACCGTGAACCAGACGACCTGAGTTTGATTTCCAACCATGGCTAACATCATTAGCGAACTCAATGTGAATCATCGTTCCCGAACCCCCCTAACACTTCACTCACCTAGCGTGGTAAAGTATAGCCATACATCTCAATGACCAAAAGGTTGTGTGTAGAGGTCTTCACCTAGCAGTGGTTTTACGAAGGGCCATGAATATAATATAAATATTTTTTAAAACTTGATGGACAATATATACAAATATTTAGTCTTCTTCTCTCGTATGGAAAAGGTGAAACTAGCGAAAATGTATGTGT